AAAAAAAAAAAAAACACGATTAGGGAGTGCTACTATGCTATGCTGTAATGTGCCCCTAACATTTTGACGATCCTAAGCCCCTTCCAGGTATAACCACGACCTTTCTTGAAAAGCAAAAGCCATTTCGATAGTATATAAAGGGAGGAAAGGCAAGTCAAATTATGAGAACAGGAACGCGTGAGCTAGTCGCTGAACGCTCTCCTGCATCAAGACAACTGGGGACGACTCGGTCACAAGGAATCAAAACACCGTTGTCAAACATTGTTTATTCCACAACCAGTTTCATTTCGATTTTCCGTTTTCAGGGAAGGTTCAACAACCACTTTCACTTCTAAGAATATGTTCTCAAGATTGTATTCTACTACTAAGAATGTACGTTGTACACGTAGCGGAATATGCACAACACTGGAACAAAACGTAAATAACTAAAACTATGATAAAATGGTAAATACGAGGAGCGACTGGTTTAAGACCAAGGGAAATTAGTTTTGATGAAGAGGTATCCGTACCACTTAAAATGAAGACTAAAACTCTCTTGGCCTTACGGTTACCAATAGCCGCCATAATGCTGCAGGGGTATTTTGCAGAAAGCCGAATGCACTGTTTTCACACATGTTTTGCTTGCGGTTAGCTTTAAATTGTTGGAAAGGACGAAATACAATATGCTGTCCTTTCCAACAACAACAACGAAAAGCAGGTGACTGTAAGCGAACACGAGTGAAACTAACCGTAAGCAAACAGTCCAAACAGTGTACTCGGCGTTCTGCAAAGTACCCCTCCCGGCCACAATGGTTTTCACATGACAATGTAAATTAGCCCTGCGGTCAACCAGGGACAAACCAGGGGTTTCATTAATATTTTCAGCAACAGGGCAACTGGTTTTCACCTGCGGGCAAAACGTTTTGAATTGAACTTCTTTACAAGAAAACCTTTCCTCTCCATGGTCAAACCAGGCAACCAAAATCACCCTCACAGCCGGTCAATTTGGCCGGTACCCGGCCCTTAATGAAACCAATGACAAACACTGGGACTCCGTCAATTCCGCGCAGACTAACAGTCATCATCCGATTGTCGGACAATAGAAAGCTATTTTTGACCTTTTATTATTAGTTTTGGAGTTTCTATAGTCTGACTACTCTGAATTTGTTGTTTTCACAAAAGATCAAAGCGAATTCTATTCAAGTGTTATATTTTAGAAACTGAAACCCATGTTTTTGTAGTCGTTTGCCCCTGCAGAAATGGCATGGTTTATCTGGCAGGCATTAGTTCTACGATCTGAACCATCATGGCGGCAACCTGTTGACTGGGCCGGTGGTCTAGATGTGTGACTTTCTTGCGGTCGTCATGGTTTCTCTCTCACAAGTATTGGTAAGTTGCCTATGTAGTTACCAGGTCAGCTCAAGAACATGCAGTGAAGATACCAGGCCAGCTTAAGAACTCTCGGCCAACATTCTCATGGCTTGGATTCGGATGCAAGTTGGAGATGAGAGATGGCTTCCCGCAACAATCCTGGTCACGTGAGCTTCAAGATTATTGCAATGTTCATTAAAGTTGATCCACAGACAATCGTCAGAAGCCAAGCCAGCTCGCGCCCTTGTCATACGGTGGTACGCCTGCACCAAATGTGACAAGATCAACAAATATTGTTCGCATTTCTCAGCAGGAACATGATTTGTGGAGTGTCGCCCTTTTCTTCCTAACACAGCCTGGTATGATTCCTCAGATGGGCGGAGGGCTGTAACTTCGTTGCCCTTTTCTCTGAACTGTAATTCCATGGCCCGTAGGAATTCTTTTGTTTCTTTATTTTCTGCCAAATCGATCGGTTTTTCTCCGCGATCGTTTTCTGCTTCTAGTAAAGGTAAACCTGTCACAGATAAAACGAACATTCAGTACAAGACCAGTGGGTTTTTTATGTTTCTTCAGACAGCATAGCCTGCGTATCAAGCATTCTCCTTTCGAAAACGCGTACGTTTCCTGCATTTAACATTGCGGCAACATATTTTATACTCTCGCACTAATTTTCGCGCGCCCAAAATCTGGGTAACTTTTTCGTTTAATTCCGCACGGGAATTCTTACTAGAGGGTCTCAATGGGATTTAACCGTCAACCGTAAAAGCCACTACCCCATTGGGACCCTCTGCTACACTGGCTACAAACGGCCAAAAGAATATAAGCAGCTGAGCATCAAAACTAACCTCCTGCTCTGACCAGCAGCTCGACTACTTGATAATGATTGTTGCCCACTGCATCATGTAAAGGAGTTGTTCCACACAGAGGAGCAGACAGCACGTTCAGCACCTGAGTGGTGTCTATTATCACAAAACAAGATTAAACAAGGCTTAGCCTGATACACGGTCATCTGAATTAAACAAACATATTGAGAGTTTTAGCGGACGTTTTATTGGCAGGTTAAATTTCATAAGCAGTTGAGTGGAAGCTCAATAGGGAAACACCAATCCTCGTGAAGACACTTCTCCGCGCGGATTTCAGTGTTGGGTAAGCCTGAGAACGACTTGTAACAGCATTGAACAGAAAGTATCATCACTCAGAAATGAGGTGCGTCTACGTCATCAAATGAAGGGCTAGTGGGGTGGGGTGGGGGAGAGGACTGCTGAGGCTTAACCGCAACACTGAGTAAGGAACAGTCAATACTGGTATTTAATGCGATTCACAACTGCGGAGTCCGAAGGTTTCACATGGTCAGCATCCTTTTAAAGCTTTCACTGCCAGATTAGTCTGTTGCTTAAGTCTCTAGATGAAATCTTCGTTTGTGACTTAAATTGAACACTCTTTGGAAGATAAATGGTTTTGAGGTGTTAGCAACACATACCATCTCCAGGTTTTATTTCATAGACAAGCTGCCTTGCTTTCAGTAACTCCTGAACACAGCCTGTGTAGCCATGATTACAAGCCTCATGCAGCGGGGTCCATCCAGCATTGTCCTTCATGTTAGCGTCGGCACCTGACGCTAACAGCTGTTTGACCTTCACAGCATCATTCTTGATGCAGCTTAATTGAAGATTGGTTTCGCCTGGCGAGAAATAACACGACAAAGCAGTAAAGGAATAAAGATAACCTGTTTAAAACACTTAAGTACTTAGTTGAAGAAATTTTCAGCCAAGCACGAGGACCGTATTGCCTTGTGGGTCTTGGCAGTACGCACAGAGAAGTTCTTCCTGCATGGCCTTCATTAAATCCTTTTTTCCGAGTCAAATCCGAGCTCGAATCAAGTGCCCGATATGTAACGCTCAGATGGATTTCCAGCAATAGAGTCAAAATTAAATCTCTACTCCAGTACTACGTGGCACAACTTTGTATTGGCAAATGTCAATCCGGAGGTCCTGGGTTCCAATTACGCCGAGATCGAAGATTTTTTCTTTTCCTCGTGTTTGCCCTATTTCCTTCCAGGGCTACCGCTCAGAGGGAAATAACTGAGTTATTTTCTAGCACTTTAAATTGTCTCAAATGAAGAGAAAATGAGCATGGTCTCTTGCTCAAATGTAATTCTATACTTTCCATCTAAGTAACAATAACTCGCGTTGACCAAAACAGCACTCACTGGGAACTGGTTAGCTCTTGAATAATTATGAATGTACCGTTATGTGGGATACGTTATATTCGTTACGTTATGTATACTTATACACGATACGTTATTTATAACGTGACTCATACACTTACTTGGACTCGGACCTGACTGTGACCCCAATTTTTCTCAGACACGGATTTTGCTCGGCCAACAAATAAACTCCTACCTCCCGAGTATACGAAGAATATTTTGGACCAGCAATAAAAGACTGATTGACCGATATTATCTACTTGTCCTCTCACTTTTCTAGTCGTGTAACATTAAGCAACCAAACTGTAATTCTGAATGCATCGTTCTTGATTTTTTCTGCCGCTGCCGGCTCAGTTACTTGAGATTTGGGTTGCACAGTGGAAGCGACATGTTTTCCGACATTCGTGATGGAGTAACCGTAAGGTTTAAACCATTACAAAAAGGAAAAGCGCATGGTGTACCTTTCATATTTCGGCGATGGATCTGTCTTCTTTGTCGGTTGACGTTCCTAAAAACAGGTTGCAAACAAAATTGACTACCAATAACAAACTGATACTCTTAACAGAGTTACCGAGTGCGGGATAACAAGTCTTACTCCCACAGGTTATTTTTAGTTATGAATATTAGGTCATTTGCTTAAAATGTGCTGCTAGCCTCGTTTAGACAGAATATGCCATGTGCCTGTTTCAACACGAGTCTTCATGCAAAACCTTTCATATGAACATGAGTTTGATTTACATGAAAATGAACATGTAGGCGGAACACAATATATATATGTCCATATGAATGGTTTCGCGCGAAGACTCGCTTTGGCACAGAGGCAAAAGGCAACTCGGAAGTGACCCACTCCATTCAAACTTTTGTCAGACCAAACTGTACTCTTGTCCACAAAGCGACCTGCGAAAGCCGCGCGCGGAGCGACAAAAATATTGGCGACGCTCAAAACCCGTCCGCGGAAAACTCGATGAGCTGAGGAGGAGCTACAACCGAGAAGGACTGTTTGCGACTGACATGAGATTGGCTACTTTGAAGTAAATTAAGATCAAACCACTGCGCTAGGCCAAAATTATTCAAAAGGAGAATTTTTTCGCTTAAATGAACGTTCATACAATGAATCATGCAACTATCCATGACTATTCACAAAGAAATATTTATTCATGTTCACCATTAGAAGGAGCGTGAAGACTTTTCCAATTGTTTTCTCGGAACATACTTTAGGCTAATGGGTGTCTTCAACGAGTAAGAACTTAAGGGTAATTTGCGTGATTTTCTTGCACTTTGGACAGCCCAGTCTGGAGCCCTACATCACCAAGAAAATCCTCGGAGAATTCTTAGAGTCCTGAGACGTTAACGATTACTGCGATTCTTGTGTGTTTACTCAGTAATTTATTTCATTATTTACAAAATCTAGTACAGCCTCTTAGCACTACCCCCAGCCCCTCCTCAGTCCCGACATGGTTTTCAGTGCTTTTAATAGCGACTTTCTAGAAAAAATTCCGATTAGCAACATATAGCTGAACACTTTTACACTGGACACACTTCTGAACTGAGATTCACGGTAACTGTTCAGAGAATGACAAAGGCAGTATTTAAATGTCAAAATGTTTGATAAATGGCTGATCTTATAGATTTGTACACAGGTCGAGCTGCGAAAGCCGAGTTTGAATGAGAAACATGTCAGCCTAGAAGGACTTGAGAAAGTTACTGATCATATGACATTGCACGTCACTAATACTACCCTGGTCAACAATTAAACAAATTTACAATACTAGCATTATTAATTTTTGATACAATTATTGCATGCCAGCCTAGTCCCAAACATATTAGATGAAACCAAATTGTTAATTTCAGTAATTTTTACAATTAATGCTCATTGTTTTGGGGCTAGTCCCATTAGAATCGTTTCCTCAGAACACGGATGAAGGTCAGGTGTTGTTGAGCGGGGTCTGTCTCGGTGCACAATCCTGTTCTTCGAACAGAACACTGTACCAGCTCCCTGGTCTCTTGACGGCGATGCTGCTCCAGTTGATCCATGTCTGCAACTCGTCTGCCAGCTGTGTTTTTTATTCGATCACCTCTCGCTCTCTGCTTCTGCTGTTGTTTGGTAGTGCTTTGATGATTTTCAAGGTTCTGTTTGTTCTCTCTTGGGTTTTGTTGTGCGGACGCCAATGGCGGTTTCAAATGTCTGCCACTCGTTCCCTTCTTCCGTGTGGTTTTCCTTAGTGTTGTTCCAGGAACTGCCAACGTAGGAAGTGCTCCGGCCTTCTGCTTCTGTTTGATAGTGCCTTGATGCTTTTCGGTGCACTGTTTACTCTCGCTTGGTTCGTGTCGTGCCAACACTGTTTCCGGTTGAAGGTGTCTTACATTCGTCTCGTTCTGTGGTATGGTTGTGCTAGTCCCGGGAACTGCCAGCGAGGTGTGTGCTAAGCACGGCCTGTAGATCATGGTGTCACCTTTGAGCACAGCCCGCCCTCCACTCCTCTCAGCATTCTTTTCGGCATCATTTTGACGCGCTATGGGCGGTTTGGCTGTCACCGTCTTAGCTTGCTGAGGTTTTCGTTGTTGCCCTTGGATGTGTGGGAACTGTGAGACCTGACGCTCTGAAGTTCCGTGGCGAATGATAACGGTGTGTTTGATGTGGTGAGGACGAGCGACACGGGCCATTTTGCTTCGAGACCGCGACTGTCTGGTTTGCTGTTCGTTAACTGGTGGCAAATGATTCAAAAGCGTGTTGGAATTCTTGAAGGGAAAAGGATTTTCACAGTCCTTCTCGAACGACTGAGAGGCAACTTTCGGTGGTTCTTGTTGTTCAGCTAATGTTCGTTCACCAAAAATGCGTCTATTTCTCCTTTGGAAAACTTCGCATGATTCCTTCACCGAGAGTGGTTTGGCTTGTCGACTCATTTTTGTGTAGAACTTTGATGTTTTCTGGTTAGTTGAATCAAGGGATTGCAACTCTGTCAAATGTGTTTGCGGAAGTTTGGTATATATGTATTTTTATTTAAACACAAACACGTCATCTTCTTCACTTCGAGAACGTCGCGTTTCTGACGTAACTGCAAAAACTGGCGCAATAAAGTAATCGTCAATTGGATTGTTTATCCTCAGCTGTATCGAGAAACATTGCTTGCAATCACGGAATCATTTACCAAACAATGGACATACCTCTATACATTTTATATTTAGTGCCTTTTGAGTTTAAAGAAATACCGCTCTTTATCCTTCTGCTGCAGTGTTACGGCATTTTGTTTGAACACAAACAGAAAATACATTTTCTAGATTTCTCGCTAGCTTCTTTGCTGGAATTCACTTTAGATCAAATTTTTCTTAAGGGTCAAACTGTTCGTTAGTTGATTTGATGTTTTCTTCATTGCCCATTTCGCAAGCTACGTCTTTTGTTTTCATCCTTTTACCGCATAGAATTACTGTTTAGGAATTAGTTGTGCAAGGAAATAAAAACAACATTTACTGTAACTAGGTAATCAGTCTATGTTTCTGACGTCTGTCCTCGTTACTTAAGGCTTCGTCCTATACTTAACCTTAGCATACCAACCAAATACTTCATTACTTGCGTGAGAAAATAAGAGAATAACATCAACTGTAACTAGGCAATTAATCGATGTTCTGACGTCTGGTTACCGTGGCATAGCAACCAAATACGTAATTATTAGCGCAAGAAAGTAAGCGAAGAATATTAGCTGTAACTAGGTAATCTGCCGATGTTAATAAACTGTTGGCAGCCCATCTTATCTAGTTAGACGGGCGTTTATCCACCGATATGAACGCAAAAGGGTCTCGTACCAATCCCTTCTAGTCTGAAATGGATGAAACGTTTCGCCTCAATCCCTGCCTGATTTCGAGAGGAAAACAGACTACCAACAGTCTAAATGTTAGTGACGTCAGTAACATGTCGTTCTTTACCGCCAGCGGTCTTCACTTGAGTGACGAGTGTCGGTCGGTAAGGTCAGTCGGTCGTCGGGAAGATCGGTCTTTCGGTCGGTCTTCGGTAAGGTCGGTCGTTGGTTCGTTCACAATGTATTGTACTCACCCAATGGCCTGGAGTGGTGTTGTTCCTTTTCGCTGCGTTCCTTTTACCGCAGCAGGTTTAACAGAAGTGTCTTCAGTGATACTTGTTGGGGTGGTCACGGGCAACAGAAAGAAATAGCTTGAAACCTGAGAAGTAAAAACAATTTGCCACTTACTTTTTACACCGGTAAACTGTGTCCCCGATCAAAATTTGCGTTAGAAAATTCTTGAAATCTTTAATTCTAGGCCGGAAAGAAATAGAATAACTAACAACAACACACAAAGAGCGACACTTTATTTGTAACATTACCGTCGGGTGGGAATAACGGCACTGCAGACGAGCGTTCTCTTCAACTTTATTATAACTTGGCAAGCTGAGGGAACACAAGTTACTGTTCATGGAAGGCGCGCACACTTAAATTTCCAAGTTGGCCGGTGGTAATTTCTTCGTTAATAGTGGTACATAGGGTGACACTTAAGATAGATAACGTACTAAGTATTTCACAAAATAAAGCTTACTATTTTCTCAAGTGACAGTGTCTTGGTGTTTACATGACGTCTCTCCAGAGGCACCAAACGATCAATGTAGTTACCCAGGAACTTGTCTGTCACATGCATTCGAAGCCACGTGGGTCTGCACGTCTCCAGAAACCGCTTCAGGGTAACCTCGCTTCCGTGCAGCCCTCCACAGGCCAGAAACAGCTCGGTCACAAAAGTTCGCGAGCGTTCACTCAACCTGGTACCCAGATCTCTTTCACTACACTTCATGGAAACGAGGTCACAAAGAATAAAGCATTGTGCTACCATAGCAACAACACTTTGAAGAGTTTGCAACGCAGAAATCTGAACGAAAAAAATGTGACAAGGTTAAGTCTATTAAGCAGGGGAACACTAACATCAATCTTTATGCCTTGCGAAATTTTCCATGTAATGCGCGAACTGTGAACTCTCGCCGATTAACTCAGTGAAGCATAACCCATTCCGCGAGCGGACACGATGAACCAAATCCTACGCTGGGATGCTACCTGTTTCGCACTCACCGAGTTCGCACCCCTGAACCCATTATAAACTTTCTATTTCGATTTCGCCTTCACCAATGGATTAAAGAAGACGAAATAAACTTGTTTCGTATGATTTTGTTTGATTATGCCCAATGTTTTCTTTTTTGCTGGGAAAGGGAAAGATAAATTTTAAGCACTTGATCGCTATTTGAGTCGATGAGGGTGCGAAACCTCCAGCTACCCTGCGCTGTCCTCAACTACAGTTATGTCCCGCAAGAAAATGGTGTTCTTTATTCCATATGTGGGAGGCTTGGTGGCCTCATGGTTAGTGCGCTCGTCTCCGGATCGAGCGGTCCGGGTTCGAGCCCTAGCCGCCACCCAGGCGTATAAATGAGTACCGGAGAACTTAATGCTGGTGGTAACCCTGCGATGNTCCATATAATAAATCCTTTATTGACCAAGCTTTTTTGTTCAAGGTGGCTGGATACCGTAAATTGTCGTTTACAATCCCTAGGCTTATACAACTTCGTAAGGGGTGGGGGGCTTATAATCTGAGGAGGGCGGATTGTAAGCAGCAGTAACTTGTTACTTCTATTCTCAACGGTCACTTCTGAAGATGTAAGTTGAAACATACGAAACGTCAAGTAATATAGTTTTTTGTTTTCCAACAATCCGTTTTATTGTCATGTTTATCTCCGCATTTTGTGTGTTATTTCTTAGAATACTCGCGTCTGATGTTAAACAAACCAGAAGGGAAAGAGAGTTGGAAGAAAAAGAAAAGGGATCAGAGATGTAAACCATAAAACAACCAAAAATCTTCAAGAGTGATCTTGCGGGATCATTCGGACAGTGCCTGGTCCAATACTGAGAGAATATTGGACCGGCAATGGAGCAATCTGATTAGCTCATTTCAGTTATCGACCCTGTGAACTAACTTATTCGTGTGAAGGTGAATTAATCAACATGACACGAGCGTGGGACAAAGAAAAATTCTGAGTTCCCGACAGGAATCGAACCCATGACCTCCCGAACACCGGGCGGGAGATCGGAA